AGGGAAACTAAGTTGGACAGCAGCTCCCTTTGACACTATACTTCAAGGCCTCTAAGAAAGAGTCGCCTGTACAGTCAAGTGCTACCAGCTGATCTGCCGCAGCTCTGTGCTGTATAAGCAAAGATGAGTTTGCTAAACTTTTAAATTCACAGATAGATTTTGAAGAGCTTCTCAATATCAGTCGGATAAATTGATATACATATTTGAAGTTAGTTCTTATAAACAACTAGATCCAGTTTTCAAGTCAAACTATCAAATCAAATAAAGGTATATTACCTTTGTATAAGCATATTGTTTCTAAAAATATTTTTAAACATTTTGCGTGCTGGAGGTATCTCTCATCTTCTTTATACCGTGATAATTATTTTTACTGTATACAGTAGAATACCATAAGTCCTGTATTTTCCAAACTCAGGTAAAATTTTAGCTCCTGTCTTTCCAGTATCACTTTCTCTAAAAATAAAGAGAAAAAAATTGTAACTTACATCCAGTAAAATTGTCCTTTTCTAATGTCCACTATGAATTTTGACGATTGCACAGTTTTGTAACTAATCAATACACAGAGCATTTCCATCATCCTGCCCCTCACAGTTGGTCTCTTTCTTTATTCCCAGGCAAACACTCAAGTTTTCTATTCTTCGTGATATTTAAAATTTCTTTTAAAAATGAAATGTCTTTAAGTTAAAAAAAAATTTAAAGCAAGTCAGTAGTTTTTATCCCATAGTCAAAAGGGTGGTGTCCCTCAAAGGTGTGCATAGTGAGAGACAGATGTCCACTCCATTTTGGAGGATAGCCTCCCGCTATTAAGTGGGGATCTCTATTCTGACTGATCTTTGCTGTCAGCCTGTGTCTTCTCCAGTCTTTCTTCTGCTCCAAATCTACTCTCTCAGGCATATTAACATATGCATGCTACTATTTCCCTCTTAGTCCTCTCTGTTTCTTTACCCATCATTTGTATTTCCCTTCTTCCTTTTGTCTTCATATTTTTAATGCTTTTATTAGTGTATTATAGTTATACATAATAATGGGATTCATTTTCACATATTTGTGCATCCCCTCCTCCATCCCCCTTCCTCTACTATATTGGTCTTCCTTCTATTTATTCATTTATTTGTTTATTTTAAATTGGTACTTTATGGATATACCTAAAAGTGAGTCCATCATGGTATGCTCATACAGGCACATAGCATGTATGTTCAATTCCATTCTAGCCATCAATTCTCTCATTCAGTGATGTTACCATTTATTGATTTTTTTCTTCTAAAATTATATATTTAATTTTTAAATGTTTGTTTCTGTATTCTTCTTCAAATTTTTCCAGTCATGCTTCATAATATCTTGCTGTTAGCTTGCATATACATGACATTTTTAGTGTGCCTGTATTTTGACTGTGACCAGCACAGGAGGTCAGGAGTGGAAATTTCCTACTGTTACTATCTATCCTGTTGGAGCTTAAAAAGTTTCAGATTTTGGAACATTTCAGATTGTGAATTTTTAAATTAGGGATGTCAACTTGTACAAAATTCCTGGTCACGTGTCCTTTCCTTGTGTCTTATCAGCATTTCTCTTCTGCTTCTGAGGTAATGCTATTGCAGAGGCATCTGCACATGGAAGATGTCTTTTCCTGTTATCTGTGATTTGATGCAATTGCCAGGCTGTCCAAAGAATATTTGCTTTATCTTTGACATCTAATAACCTATCAGGACATGCCTCTGGGCTCATCATTCTTTGCCATTTTTCTTGGAACAAAGTTTTTCTTTCCAATCTGAGACTGAGATGATCTTTCATTTCAGGTCAGGGTCTTGACTTCATATTAAAATACCCTTTCTGCTACCTTATTTTAATTTCTTTCTTTAGACTGTGTTTCTGACCCAGCCTGAGCCTCTTGACCTCCACAGATTGCCTCCTGGTTCTGTCATGTGGCAAAGGATGACAGACTTTGGAGCACTTTATAATTTGTATAGCATGATGTGAATTCCAGCTTTTAATCTAGAAGACATTGCAGTGACAGGCAGTCATGTGGTTCACCCATTTGTCTGTTAGTGAAAATGAATTTGAAGCAGAATGACTGCTTGGCTTGAGCCCATAGGGCAATGCTGGTGGTCCAGATTGGGTCAGAGACTGCAATTCCAGAGTCTCTTTTCTGCTCATTCCCCTTTTCCTTCTTTTTAAGTTGAACACAAAATTGACCACCATTCAGATTCTCAACACCATGGTTTTACTTGTCTTTGAACTTTACATAAATAAAATCATACGTGATTCCATCATTCTAAGCATCATATTTTGTCTATTGTTCATGGATGTTTGGGTGGCTTCTGCCTTGAGACCAACCCAAATAGCGTTGGAATGTCTTTGAGGAATATTTGCATAGAAATAATAAGATATCTTGAGAATGGGTCCAAGTCTAAATACAAAGTACATTAATGTTTCACATAAACCTTAAGCACATAGTTCAAACATAATTTGTTACATTATTTTTAGTGCACCACCTCTGTTTTCCTTGTGACCCATCACTTGAGGTCAGTACTTTGACCCCTGAGGAACACACGCACAGGTCCGAACATACTTAGGAGTAGAATTGCTGGGTATTGGAATGTATGTCTTCAGTTTTAGTAAAGACTGCCAAAGAGTTTCTAAAGTTGTTGTTTCAAGTTATAATCTTATCACCAATGCGCAAGAGTCTTGTAAACGCTTGGAATTCCCATCCTTTTCATTCTAACCATTCTGGTGAGTATACAAAGGCATCTGATGGTGGGTCTTAATGTATTTTTCTCTGATAACTAAAGAGATTGAGCAAATTTTCTTATATGTTTCCTGGCCATTTAAATATTCTCCTTTGGGATGTATCTGTTTAAGTCTTCTATCCATTTTTCTGGGTCTTCTCCTTAATTGATCTAGAGAAAGCTGGGGTTGTTTTCTTCTTTAACTACATTCTAGTGCACACACTTTGTTGGTTATATGTATTAAGATTGTTTCCCCCATGTGTTACAAATACCTTCTTTCATTTTCTTATAGTTGTCTTTTGTTAAACAAAAATTCTTAACTTTAATATAGTATAATTCATTAATTTTTTCATTTCTGGTTAGTATGGGGAGGATTCTATTTGAGAAGTCTCTGCCTAACCTTGTTCTCCATCTCTTTGATGATTAGAAAAGGTTTATGGGAAAGTACTGTCTATAAAGTGCATAATAAATGGTTCACACCACCTTCTCCCCCCCTCTCCTGATGTGGCTGTTATTCCTCTTCATCCCAAGCACTCCTACCCCATAAATTCCCTCCTGGGTCAGCCTTGCCTCATGAACACGTGTCTGCACATGGATGCAACACTCTCGAAGAACTCTGAGGTTAAAGTGCAAGGAATCAAGCATTTAATGAGGTGCAGTCAGTCTTTATGGGACCAGCTGTGCTGCACTCAGCGCTCTCATCTTTTTACCACTCCGTTGAGAGGTGAACAGTAATAGGAATGTGTAAGCTTTTCTGAACAGTATTCCACTAGAATCACTGACTTCTTTAAGGGCACAGATAAGCTTCTACATATTTGCAAAGGGGAAAGGGCTGCTGTGGGCTTTTCTTAGCTCTTTTTAAAAGCACCCTTCAGCTCTGTTTTCCTTCCCTTTCTCTTATTTATTTTTGTCCCTTAGACCTCTAAACAATTTTTTTTTTTTTGACAGTAGACAGCACAGTTGTGCATCTAGTCCATGCAGATGTTTGAGATTACTTGGATCGGCAGACCTCTAAACTAAGCACAGCACACCCTTTGCAAACCATACCATAACTGTGCTGTCCACATCACAGGGGCCCCCACTCCTTGCCTGAGGCACACCAGCAGATCCCCTAGCCATACTCTGGAGGATCATGTCTCCCCATTCCAGCTCAGGCCTCTTAGCCATGATTGGGTTTGGCATCCAGGAAGCACTGTGTCTTTAAAAGATCCTTAAGCACATCTGTTTTCAATTTTCAGGCCATGAGGCAAGGATTTGGGTGCAAGTAGTTTATCTGGGAAGTGATCCCAGGAAATACCGTGAGGGGGCTGTCTATGGCAGGGGAGAAGTCAAGAAAGGTGCATTGATGGGTAGCTGACTGCCATGTGCAATGGCACTATCCCGCCTGTAACCTCCGAGCAAAATGATGCCTCAGAATCATTCCCTACCCCCCAAGTGGGATATGGGTGCTGCCTGACACCCCCCCCCCAAATCACCTCATAGCTAATGATGCTGTCTGCATGTAAGTCGTTTGGGGAAGGACACTGGCCACGTCAACCTCAATGATTTTGATGAATTGTTTCATTCTGAGCACTTTGCCAATGTCCACATTTCTTATTAATACAGTTGAGAGTCTGTGTTTTTAAATGCCCATTCCTGTTTCAGTAGAATTAATTATTGCAATTGTATAGTTGTGCAGTTGTGAAATTCTCTAGAAGAAATGCTGTGAGAAATTATGCACAGCTTAGCTGAGTTAGAAACCAGGCAGGGAACATGGAAGGCTGCCTCTGTAACCCCATGGGGTTCAGGCCCTTCATCTGGACTCTCATTTCTGAGCCTCATGACAGTTGCTCACCCCTCTGGCCTCAGCTTCTTCCAACAAACCCTCTCTAACGAAGTTAGGTTACATTCATTTCCTGTGAGCTCAGTGCAGCCGGTGGGTGCCTGCCTTATCCCTCAATACATTAAGTGGAAGCAATTATTTGCTTATTACTCCCAGGAGGCAGAGGCTGTCTCCCTGATGCCTCTTAGATCCTCATTACCAGATGGTGGACTGTTAAACTCAATCCTATGAGACAAGCCCTCCTAGGAATAAATTCGCAGAATTTCATTGAGCTCAATAAACCAGATGAAACGATGCTCCTGTTTTCTGAACATCTCAATTCATGACCCTCCCTCTTCCCTACATTTCAGATCCCAAATTCAAGGTTAATTGGACTACACTTCTGACCCCAGTTATAGCCTACATGCTATAATTGGGTGTTCTTGTCAGTCACAGTTCCTTTCCATGTTCTGTAGCATCTGATGTGCGCTGGACTGTGGTGCCTGGTAGAAGGAGATACGTCCTGCAAGACCAAGCTGGATCCTCCCCTGGATGGCACCGAGTGTGGGGCAGACAAGGTAACCCCCTGCCTCCTACCACTGCCAATAGCAGCCCCACTCTCCTGGGTACTGGACACATTTCCTTCTGAGAGGCAGAGTGTCTTCTGCTCAAGATCCCCTGGAATATCCCACAGTCACTGCAGAAATGCCCATGGAGCCCACTGCAGACACATGGGTGTCCTCATTACCTCCTTTTTTCATTTAAAGATGCAAGAATTATTTACTTTAGTATATTTTCTAGAATAACTCCTTTTGTGCCATGAGTTAATTTACTTAAAAGGGAATCTTTCCATCAGTTTACTTGAAATGGAAAACAATTGCACTTGCTGAACACAAAAAGTTAACATGCAATGAAGTTGATAAGAACACTGTTGTCCAGTTCTAGCTAGACATTAAGAGGGCAAACCTGATCTTCTTGGACAGGAACGATTTTAAATGTTAGGAGGAGAGCTGGCTAGAACCAGCAGCCATACAGCTTTGCCCTCAGTTTCATTGCAATGGTTGAAAAGAAAGTCACGGTTCATCCTGATACCATGATTGGGAGCCACTAAATCACACACTCACTCTGGGAACATGTGTTTTAGAGGATTGGCTTCTTATCCTTAGAAAGAACCACAGTGATCGACATGGAGCTGGCTCTCATCCCTGTGCACCAACCCCTACCCTAGAACCCATAACAGAGAGATAGACGGTCATGTTAAGCAAAGTTTGCCAATGCTCAGGTTCCTTCACAAGCTATGCAGAATTATCCTTTTTCCGAGAATTTATAAAATCCCAATGGGCCACTTTGTATGGGGAAGTTTGAGGCAAAACCCAAACCCCAGAGAAATATAGATAGGTATCAGATTGAGCAGGTAGAATCAATAGACAACAAATATGCACATCCTGTAATAGTCTACTTTTATGTAAATTTCAAAAATCAATTTGGGGCCTTATGGAGGGACCCGCAGTCCTTTGGGAAAGGAGAAGCTCTGCTGAGTGCTCAGGCCCGGCCCTCCCTCCTGTGTTTCAGTGGTGCCGTGCTGGGGAGTGTGTGAGCAAGACGCCCATCCCGGAGCATGTAGATGGAGACTGGAGCCTGTGGGGTTCCTGGAGCATGTGCAGCAGGACATGTGGGACAGGAGCGCGGTTCCGGCAGAGGAAATGCGACAACCCGCCGTAAGTGCCCCTTGACCAGGCCTTCTCCAAGGTGCCTCCCTGGGTCTGGCCCACCTGCAGTTATATTACCTTATACCAAGAACCAAGCATGAGGAAAATGAGATAAAACCAAGGTCGGGTGCAAGGGCTCAAGTGTCAGATGGCATCTCGGCTTCTCTAGAGCTCTCCCTGAACACGGAGGTGGAGGAGTCCTGTGGTGAGCTGGCTTCTTGACTCCCTGCCTAGGCTCTGGGAGAGAGATTTCCTGAGACAGCTGGATTGCAGTCTGTCTCGCCAGCTTCGTGGTTTACTTAGTCAAGGGTCATTCTCCGGAAGCCTGTAGACCTTCCGGAAATGGAGTCCAGCCTTCAAATTAGCTGTTGGCTGACTCTGAAGCAGGCTTCTTGTTCATTAGTCCAAAGAATCTGTGTGTTTAGCAATCTTGTTCATCGGAATACTTTTCACAAGTCTTCCTAGAAGTATTTGACAGGAAAAAAAAATGGGGGTGGGGGTGTTTTTTTCTCTTCTCAGTTATTTTACTGATTACAATGACACCAAGATCTTCCTGATCACCCTTGGATCCAGAGATAGATTTGAGCTCAATTTTTATGAGTTCATCAACACAAGTTTTCCCTTTAATCTTTGTTTCGCAATTTAAAGTGTTTCTTTTAATGGTCTGTTTTCTGTCTTGGGTGTCATGTCAATTTGGAAAATGAGCAAGTTGTAAATCATGACTAAGAAAGAAATGCTTTATATGCACATGTATGTCATGTCAATGAAGAATTAGCAAGTACCTCTTGTGTTTAGAAATTCTGATGCTCAAGCTTTGTTAATTAAATCACACAGACGCCGTTGGTGGGCCACAGAGAGTGAATGCCTTCAGTCTCTCAGATGATTCCAGTGGCCAGCTAGGACCAGAGACCTCCTGGATAAAGGAAGGCATGTGCCCATAGTTCAGTCAGTGACTAGAACATATATGGCAGTGCATAGTATGTCTTTTCACAACATAATACAGAGTAGTTGGCACATAGTAGGCATTTTATCTATTGGAAATAATTTCTTAACTAAAAGCACAAATGGGTAGATGGTTAGAAACTCTATTTGGCTAAATGCTAAGAAATTAATAAAGGGGGGTTTCAATTTTTACAGTTTTTTTTTTTTTATGTTGAAGTTAATAGCTTGACCTCTGGCCCCAAAAAGAGAGTTGTAGGTTTGGATTCATGGTGCTTTGGTTTGAGCCTGGCTCTGTTGGTTATTGGTCATATGATCTCAAGGAAGTCCCATGTGTGGGCCCCTGTTTCCCCATTATGGGGAGCAAGAGGGTAGAGCGAAGCATCTCAGGGCGGATAAGTCTTCAACCCCAGAAAAACTCTTTATTTTTTAATTATTTTTTTAGCTGTAGGTGGACACAATACCTTTATTTTATTTATTTATTTTTATGTGGTACAGAGGATTGAACCCAGGGCCTCACACTTGCTAGGCAATCATTCTACCATTGAGCTATAGCTCTAGCCACCACCCCCCAGTATGGCTCTTTATAGCAACTGATGTCTCATCATCTACAAGTTGGAATAACTGATGGAAATGCATGTAAAGTCCTTGGTCTGTATTGTTAGCACTTTGGAAGATGGGGATGAGACCTAGTCCCACACTATCCACCTCACAATTCTGCCTGGTGGCTCTGGGGTGGGTGACTTGGGTGGAAAACCTTTAAGTACAGAAAAAAAATTTGCTCGGGTCATGGTTTTCATGGTTGTCCCCTGTTTGTGACTGGAGCTTGTGGGCTCTGGTTCAGGTCTTGCCTCCTACATCATTACACACCAGGTAACTCCCAGTAAACATCACAGAAGGGAATAGTAGGGCCTCTAAATGTCTGAAGGCCCTTATGTCCCAGAGGGTGGACAGTTTAGATTGTGTTTAACACCTGCAAGAAGATGTTATAAGTGCTGGCCAAACATACTAGACACGGCCTATGTGAGACCCACATTGTCCTTTTGCCTTGGAATGACGTAGGCTAGGGTATCTCTCTAGTCGGCAGCATCAGAGGAGGCTTTCTAGAACTTTGTGGCTTCCAGCTTTGACTGGTCCCTATCACTGTTCCAGCTGCGTCCTGCCCTGCCCACTTATGGTGGCTCTGGGCTACCACAGGGGCTTCTTGTGATGAGAGGCTCCTGAAGCTCCCCTAGTTCAGAGGTGCATCAGCATACCTCTCTGGTTTGACCTGCCAGAAGGGTTCCTGTGTTAGGATTCTCTTCTCATTCCTCCAAGCCCAGTCACCCCAAAAGAGAGGCTGATCTGGAAATCACAAAATTGTTATAAAAACCTCCTTTCCTTATTCTTCTTTATCATGCCCCCACCTCGTGGTGGCCATGAATTTTACCTCTTTTTGCCCACCTTTGTGCATGTCACCACTGAGGAATGGGGGAATGGGTAGGACTGCCACACCTGGCCACTGAGGGTCTGTGGGTTACAGCACCTCTGACTATTATGAACACAGAGACACCTTCACTGCTCATCTCTGCTGTCCAGCAAGGCCCTGTGGGGCAGGGCAGTGGACAAGTACCAAAAGAGAAAGTGGGTGTTCTCACTGCTCCCAGGTCCATGCTCCTTCCCTGTGATACCGTTTCACCACCATGCCTTTGTAAGCCTTGACAGGATCCTAAGTCTAGACCCTGTGAAGTGTGGGCCTACAGTGACAAGCAATGACAGATGAAAGCCCTGCCCCCTCCAGGGGAATACTCCCATAGACTTCCCTTGTTTTTTTTTCTCCAACTCTTTAAACCAGACTCTTTCTAAGCTCTGCTGTCTCTTCTCAGCCTGCTTCTGCCCTCTTGGTACATAGTACCTCCAACCAGTGCACTACTCAAACACAAAGCCCCCTGTGTGCAGGTGCCATCCCTTGTCTCTTTTCTACCTCCTTCACATATGACCACGTTAAGAACAGCAAATGCAGCGGGCGCTCACCATGTGCCAGGTTCCCCTAGGCATTTATTTTTATGCTTCTGTTAGTGCATTATTATAATTATATATAATAGTTGGGTTCATTTGGACCCAATCATATGCACAAAGTTTAAATTTCTCCATTTGAGTCTCTGGTTGTATCTTACACCTCTTTCCCTCTCCTCCTCCCTCCCCATACCCCATTCTCTACTCTACTGGTCTTCCATTTATCTATTTTTAATTGGTGCTTTATAGATATACATAGAGGTGGAATTCACTGTGGTATACTTAGACATGCTCATAGCGTAATTTTGTCAAATTCATTCTGCATTTCCTCCCCTTTTCTGTCCCTCCTTCATCCTCCTCAGTCGCCTTCTTCTGCTCCACTGATCTTCCCTCTATCTTTACGGTATCTGACCCCTATGCTTTATCCCCTTTACTTTGCTCTAGCTTCCACACACAAGAGAAAACCTTTGACCCTTGATTTTCTGAGTCTGACTTATTTCATTAAGCATGATGTTCTCCATTTCCATCCACTTACTGGCAAATACCATAATTTCATTCTTCTTAATGGCTGAGTAAAACTCAATTGTGTATATAAACCACATTTTCTTTATCCATGCATCTGTTGACGGGCACCTGGGCCGGTTCCATGACTTGGCTATTGTGAATTGCACTGCTATAAACATTGATGTGGCTGTATCACTATGGTAGGCTGATTTTAGTTCTTCTGGGTAAACATCAAGGAGTGGGATAGCTGGATCATATGGTGGTTCCATTTCTAATTTTCTGAGGAATCAGAAAACTATTTTTTCCATGCTTTCCAGAGTGGTTGTACTAATTTGAAGTCCCATCAACAGTGTCTGAATGTACCTTTGTCCCCACATCCTTGCCATAATTTATTATTACTTGTGTTTTTGATCATTGCTTAAGCATTGATTTAGTAAGTAATTTCAGGCAGCTGTATGGGAGAGGCATCTTTTTGAATTCCTGTTGTGTAAATACAAAACTGAGTCAGAAACAAGTTAGGTAACTTGCCCAAGGTAGCACATCTAGATGGTAGGGGGTTGGTTTTGGAGCTCAGTCCTGGAAACCAGAAATCCAAAATCAAGGTGTGTGCTGCATTGGTTCCTTTTTGACACTGAAGGAAAATCTGTTTCGTGGCTCTGAGAGTCTTTGGCTGCCATTGGCTTATAGAGGCATAGTGTAGTCTCCATCTCCATCTTCATGTGGTTTTTCCTTTGTATATCTGCCCACATTTTCTTCTCTTAGAAGGACACCTATCTCTGCACTTAGGCCTTATCTAATCTAGGATGATCTCATCTCAGGGTCCTTAATTGCATCTTCTAAGATCTTTTTTTCTCAATGAAATTATATCTAAGTGGACATGTCTTCAGGGGGCCCAAGGGGCCAGCATTCAACCCATTCCAGCCTCAAAGCCTCTTTTCTGTTCCTCAGACACAATGTTCTCACGGAGGCACTTGGTTGCCCCTCTTTTCCTTTCCCTAACATACCTTTGTGTCTTTGAGTCTCAGTGTAAATAATGTTTCCTCAAAGAAACCCCTTCCTGACCACCTGTCTCCCTTAGCACTGAACATTACAGGTATTATAACATTAGGTGATCACTGTTACTTCTTGGCTCACTTGTTTTCCCTTTGTCCTCCCTGGTGGCCTTTGAACATCCTGAAGATCTGCAACAGGTCACACCTGTGTGGGCTCCATCCTGCCTTCTGGGTCTGCACAGAGCAGCTCCTCTGTCAATGTTCTTATCACCTCACACCCTGGCTGCATGCTTGGCAAGAAGAGCAATCTCTTCAGGGCCTCAAAACGCATTCCTAATACCTTTCCCCCTGAGAAACCCAAAACTTATGAGAAATTATTAGACCAGAAAGATAGAGCACCGGGTAGGCCCCCTTCCCTTTTATCATCTCACCTCACTGAAGCCTGGATCCTCTGATCAGCCAGGCAGTGCAGTTCAGGTCCCCCTAAACCTGAGTTCCACCATCCTTGCCCTGCCCCAGGGAGGCTCTTGCTCAGGGCCAGAAGTCTCAGTAGCATCTCAAGAATAAGCTTCAACACAT